ATACATACTAAATCAAATGTAGTTTTATTTTACGGGTTATCAAACTTTCATATAATTTCATTATTATTAAATATGTTTATTTAATTTACATATTTGGATAAAGAAAAGTTATAAATTTATATCAAATAAAAAAGAACATTCTACAGGTTTGAGATGTAAATCATGAAACTAAATCACGCCACTAAATATATTTTACGGATTACTAGAAACATATCATTTTCTGATGACCCATAGATACTAGTCGAATTTGATTTCTCCAATAAATGGAATACAAAGTTCCCAACCTTTATTTTTGTCTATGTGTTAAATAAAAAATAAAACAAAAAATTAAAAAAACAAAGAGAGATCGAGAGAGAGCAGTACGGTGCCAATATATTAATTGGATGTATTGATTACAATTTAAATAATATTTTTACGTATATAACAATATGTAATATACATAGATATATAATAACTTACTAATAAGGGTAGAATATGTATCACAAAAAAACATTCATGCTTTTAAATGTAGGGGTATATATATATATATATATATATATATATATATATATATATATATATATTTATACTAACATTTGAAATATGATTATTTTAGAGACGTGCTATTTCCACCCTCGAAATATATTATTGCACCTACAAATTTAATATTTTTTCTATTTTACTCATTTCTTCCTCTCACTCATATTTTGTATAAATTCACAAGTTGTCCAGAAACTGATTCGGAAGATTATTATAATCTTGTTTTGCCATTTTAGGATTAATTTTGGGAAGGATCAACCGTCAGCTAACTATATAAAATTTAAATTTCACAATTTTTGTTCTGCAAAATTGAATAAATGATCCATTAACACAAGTTACTTAATCTGCTGGTCATCATCTGATATGGATGTTTAAATATTTGTAATAAATTTTCATTGCAAAAAAAAAAAATCAGAGAAGGATTAAGCGAATATAAGGAAGGGTGGTGGATTAGAAATTTGAAGGGTATTTATGATATTTTACATAAATGGTAGTCAATTGAGATAACTTGAAGGTGGAAATAGCACCACTCTTATTTTATTATAACTGTGTTCGAAAATGTTGATAATTTATGTTCTTAAGAAATAAAATATAAAAATTAAATTAATTTTCATATAAATAAAAGAAAATATATTTATGATACATTTTACTTAAGAAAAAAAAATTAGTGAAAACATGTTTTATTTCAAATTTTAGTTGGAATATTATCCTAATTTAGGAATAAAAATATGTTTATTTTATTATTTTAACTATATATAAAAATATATTTATTATAAATTGTACCTACTATGATTAAATGTGTTTAACTAATTTAATTAAGGGTATAAATATTTTTATATTCGTTATTAAAAGTATTAAGCATTTAAAAGGGTTAAAGGGATAAGTGTTACATTGAATACATGAAGTGGGCAAGTGTGATACATCTCATAGTTGAAGGGGCAAAGTGTATTTCACCCAGAAATATATATGGAACTTGGTTAAACTTGAGAAATGGTATGGAAATTTTGACTAAGTAAGACATGTTAAACAAAGAACAAATAATTCATTTGAACATACTGTTGAGTTCATATAGATCAATTAGTATTTCCAACTCAAACCACACAAAACTTTGGCATCTTAAAATGGTTCAAAGATTTTGGTATATCCTCTAATTCAGTGCTTCTATACATTTGTTTTTCTTAATAAACTACCATGTCTGTCGAGTAAGGAGAACAAACAAGAAAAACCAATTTTACAAAATTGTGATCCTCCTAAACATGTATATCGATCATGTTTTGCTCAAACGAGATGTTAAATCAATAAATAGATCTTCACTGCAAGGAATAGTGATTCCACCCATTGAATGATGGAATCCGAATTCTTCTTCAGCCTGAAAAAACAAATCTTGAAACAGAGGATGGTTTAAGTACGATAATGGAATTACAAGTGTTTATATATTATATATCACGTATATATTATTATTATTATTTATTATAGTTACCTTGTGTAATAGGTTAGGGTTTTCTACATGAACTATATATATGATTAATATACGTGAGAGACATAATTTTCTCTTTCTCCAACTATATTTCTCCTATATGGTATCAAAGCCTAGGTTAACCTAGCCGTCACCACCTCTCCCCCCTTCTCAGCCACTGTCGCCTATCTTCTTCTCCATGGCCGGCGACGAAGCTCTTTCTTCTACCGCCCCTCTCAATCCTTTCCACATTGCTTATGCCATCTCCAATATTAAATCTCTCATCCCCGTTATCCTAGATCTGAAAAATCCCAACTATCAAAAGTGGAGCCATTTTTTCACAATTACCGTCGGTCGTTTCTGCCTCTCCGATCTTCTCCATGGAAAACCCGACCTGATTCAATTTCAGCCGATGAATGACAACGCGTCGACTATCTTCTCCAATCTTGGATCTACGTCACCATCTCCAACGATTTGTCCAGCATGGTTCTCTCCAAAACCTCCACCGCCAGTGATCTGTGGACCGCCATCTCTACTCTCTTCACTGATAATAAAGATTATTGGGTCATTCAACTTGAAGAAAAATTCAAGTCCCTCAAGAAAGGCACTCTCTCCATTCACAATTATTTCCAAATAATCAAAACCACAGCGGACAGCTTGGCTGATGTCGGAAATCCAATCTTCTACAAACAACTCGTCCTACAAACCCTACACGGCCTTCCGAAAAATTACGGGACCATCGCCAATTTCATCTCCTTTCAGAATCCCCTTCCAACTTTTCTACGGACTTGATCCCTTCTTCAGATGGAAGAAACCAGACTCGCTGAACCAGAACAGACCGCTGCTATTTTCTACGCCTCCAACGCAAACTGTCCATCCAATAGTTGCAATAGTTTCTGCAACAGTTCCCGCGGAGGTGGTTCTTCGCGTTATCAGTGGGGGGGTGGCCGATCCAACCGTCGGGGAGGTCGCGGCACTAACCGTCACCCCATGCAGCACTACGGCTACCATAGTGCTCATAGCGCATCTCAACCCTGGCGCGCACCTTACGGACCACAGTCGTTCCCGTCAATTCTAGGACCCACTCCAAATACATCGGGCCACCCATCCACTCCAGCGGCTCAAGCCTACTTTACTGGACGACCTGAACCCTACATGGGCTATTCGGCCCCTACTCAGGCTCATCCGCACCAGCAACCATGCCACAGCTCTAACAGTTCCATCAACTATTGCAATAGTTCCTACAATAGTCCCAACGTGGTGGATCTCACAAATCGTTCGAATACGGTGAACTTCAGCAGCCTACGGAGTCACAGTGGTTTATGGACAGCGGGGCGACCTCTCGTATGGCACCACACTCAGGTAATTTCAATTTTATTTTTAATCCTAGCAGTAATTTCCCCAAACATGTCGTCGTCGGCAATGGTTCCACCCTCCCCATCACCCACATAGGCCACACAAATCTTCCCACCACTCCTTTCCGCCTCACAAATGTCTATGTCACACCCAATATCATCAAGCACCTTATCTCTGTTCGAAAGTTCATCCGCGATAACTCATGTTCGGTTGAATTTGACCCTTTTGGTTTTTCTGTGAAGGATCTTCGGAGTCGAGTCGAGATTTTCAGGTGCAATAGTTCCGGTGACCTATATCCATTTGGCGTTCCTCCTCCCACCTTACCTCCAGCTGCTTTTCTCACTGTCTCCACACCTTCATCTCAAACTCTTTGCCATCAGCGTCTACGCCATCCCGGCAAACACGTCATGTCCCGTTTATTTTCTAGCACTTTTCTTTCTCATAATAAAGACCCTAGGGAGTCTCTTTGTAATGCCTGTCAATTAGGCAAATATTTTCGTCTACCATTTTATTCTAAAAAATCTACTACTGTTGCTCCATTTCAAATTATTCATGCTGATTTATGGACTTCTCATGTCTCTAGTTTTACGGGTTTCAAATACTCTCTTGTCTTAGTTGATGATTTTACCCATTATTTATGGACTTTTCCTCTTCGAAATAAATCTGACGTTTTTACAACCTTTGTCAATTTTCATACACTTCTAAAAACTCGATTCCAACACCCCCTCAAAGCCTTACAAAGTGATAATGGTCGTGAATTAAAAAAATGCGGATTTTCAAAACTACTTTACTAAACACGGCATCCTAAATCGTTTTTCGTGTCCCCACACCTCCCCTCAAAACGAACACGCAGAACGAATGATCCGCACTATAACCAACATGATTGGATCCCTCATCTTTCAGGCTCATCTTCCTCCTACTTATTGGGTCGAAGCCCTTCATATGGCCACCCACCTACTCAATATCTTACCAACCAAAACCACACAAAACCGGACCCATCACAAAGCTCTTTACCTAATCAAACCTACATACCCTCATCTTCGAGTATTCGGCTGTCTCTGCTATCCCAACCTCACCGCCACCACACCACATAAACTCGCCCCCTGTTCTACTCCTTGTGTCTATCTCGGGCACCCTTCCTCTCACAAAGGCTATCGTTGCCTTGATAGATCCACTGGCCGAATCATAATATCTCGTCATGTTACCTTCGACGAAACTCACTTTCCACTACTAGAAAAACTAGTTTCAGTGACCAAATTCTCAGCGACCATAACTAAATGGTCACTGAATGTTCATATTTAGTGACCAAACATAAATTTGTAGCAAAAGTGGGAAGGGTTAAATCTTGTTGCGACCAACGAACATTTGGTAGCTAAAAGTGGTCACTAATAGTGAGACATCTTGTAGCAACTAAAGTTAAAGTTTGTAGCGACAATTTTTATGGTCACTATAACTTAGTGTCAATAGTGACCAATTTAACATCAATTTTTTTTACGGTTGCTACGAGTCTTTAATTTAATTATTAACAACCATTTAATTGGGTTGCTAACAACCACTTGAATTTGGTTACTATGAATCTACTTGGGAAATCAAATCGATTTGGTCACTAGTTTAGTTATTAACCAAATCAAGAAATGAAAAGAAAATAAAAGAAAGATGGGGGGCGAAAATGCAAATAATGAAAAAATACAGCCATATCTTTCTTTCGTTTCTGCATCACAAAACATCTGTTACTCTCTCCGCTCTCTTTCTCTCGATCTCTACCAATTCTCGCATAATATTGCAGAAAATCAAGAAAAAATTATCTCTTAATTTATTCATTATGTTTGCACCAAAATCCCTCTTATCTTACCTCTTTTGTTTTCCCCAAAAGTATTCGCCTATTTCACCCAATTTCCCCAAGCCCTACTTCCTACCCTTATTCGAAAATTTTCGAATTCAATAAAGGAGATTCGGAAGATTTGATTACAGGAAAAGAATTGGGGATTTGAAAAGATAATTTCAGATTTGGGTTTTAAGGAAAAATAATAGTTTGGAGACCTTCGAGAATGAATCTCGTCGATCAGGGCATACAGAGCGGTGCTGAGAGCAACACGTCAGACTTTTGCCGGCGACACCATTATGCTCTGGGAGTCCGCCGCCGAAGCCCGGAAGAAATTCGAGGAGAACCGTCTCGTGACCTCCCCTGCCGATCTCAGCCGCCATCTCGAGGAGGCGAATGAGGCCACCCGCTTCATCTCAACCATGATCGTTCAGGCCAAGCTCAACGATCGCGGAGGTTACGGTATGACTAACAACAAACCCTCTTCTCCGAACTCCAACCCAATTCCCACCTCCATTTTCCCTTTTCCTTTTTTCTTTTCTTCTTATGATGTAATTGTGCACACCAGGTGTTTGTCAAAAGTTCTATTGGGCAAAACACTACTTATCATGGCTTATTATCTTAAAAAATGAACAAAAATTTGCACGCCGAAATTTGGTATGAAATTCAGCCTGCTCGCCGGAAAGGGAAATAAAATCTGCTACGCATCTGTTTTCGGAGCCAAAATCGAAGGGTCTGGAGTGTGAATTTGGGAATCATTCCTTCTCGAAACTCGGAGAGGACTCGAAAACTGTGAGAAAGTGTTTATTTGTTTCCAATTCGAGCACGTGTTATAGCCTTTTAGGGGTCGGAATCAGACGACAGCGAATCTGTCTAAAAACAGGGCAGTTTTGCCTAATCTTCATACGGAGCTGTTTTTGTTATGTTGGAGTTATAATTTAGGCTATGTGTCTTCTGATGTTTTGTATATTGAGTTTTGAGGTTTGATTTGGTATATTATTTGGTCGATTTGGATAACTCTACATATTGTTATGATTTTTCAAATAAACTGTGACAGCAAACAAGTTTGTCCAAAACAATTCTGGCAGTTTTCTGTATTCAACTTTTCGGACTGTTATTGATGTGTTATCTTAGTAATTGGGGGTTGGTATCACATCACAATTGTAGATAAAGTTGTGAACTTTTATTTGGTATATTGTTTTCCCAATTTAGATAAGCGTACGGTCTGCTACGATTTTTTGAAGAAAATGTGACAACAAATAACGTTGGTTTCTAGTTTAATGTCCATAGTTAGCATCTATCTGTGTCATTAGTTATTTGAGTCATTAGTTATTTGAAATTTGTCTTATGCACATTGAGCAACAAGTTTAAAGTAATGTGGTCGAAGGTGAAGCTTAAGAAACTAATGGATTCTTATTTCAGGTGTGTCATTCGTGGTTGTCTACCTAAGAAAATTTTGGTCTATGATGTTGCTTTTGGTGCTAATTCGAGGTGAGAAGACTTTGTTATTTGAGAAAGACTATGTTAGTTATTTATTCAAGTTATTGACCTAATTCATGTGACACGTTTTATTTTGATCAAGTATTACTATTGGGAACGCAAAACATTACTCAAAACATTACTGTGGGAATTGAATGAGAAATTGATTTCAATTGGAAGAAACTTCTACACAAAAAGGTCGGTCCAATGTATTGAATTTTGTTCTTTGGTACCATATATTTAGGTTCAAGAGTGTTATTTTTTTTTTTTTCTATGTAATATATTTATTGTTGTTTAATAGGAGAAAATATTATTTGCTATGATGTGCAGGAATTATACATAACATCATATGAGGGTATGTTAAGTAAATTTCTTGGTTGAACGATATTGAGTCAGTATTTGGTAATGTGTTGATCTCATCATTACAATTTTTTTTAAATATATTCAGTTCAATTTTTGTTCTCTCTTTTAATTTGTTAGTGCAAGAAGCTGACATAGAAAGTAGTATTCGCTTACCGGATGTTGCTCACGATTATACGAGATTTGTTTGTCGTGGATCCAGATCCAGGTATACCGAATGTACGTTATATAAAAATGAACCATAAAGTTTGTCAAAATTATTTCTGTACTTCTACTGATTGTGGATAAATTCTTTATATCAGGTAACTAGGTTGGTGGTCAATTGATGAAGGGAGTCAGGAGGAGCAAGCTCAGCTATATTGTGCATTGGAATCTAGGCGAGTTTTCTGAAATCAAAGTTCTGATCCATTTCATGCAATATTTCGTATTAATTATTTTTTAAGCTTCTTCAATTATTATACGAAGTAGAACAAATGAATTACAATTTCCGTCCTAACTAATAATTCTCAGGCAATGCATCACATTAAACACATGGACTGGACGACGTAAGTAGCTACTTATGCAAGAGCCCATATACATTATTGAATTATGAGTGCTACTAAGTGACAAATGATTGAAATTGATTCTATCATATGATTTCTTATTTTCTATTTGATTTTTTTTTCCCCTTTTTCAGGTTGGACTATTTGATGAAGTGAAAGAACGCGTTATCGTGGACGTCATATTTGTTGTCGCTTAACAATTTATGAAGTGGAATTTATTATGAAATAATTATTGGAATCTTTCTTATTATTTGGAATGATTGATTTATTATTGTATTGAGTATGGTAGATTGAAATTATAATATTCACATTTGATTGGTAATATGTAAATTTGCAATCTTTAGTTTTATTTTAATTTTTTTTTACAACCACTGTTACAAATAAACATTAATGATTAATGCAACCAATTAATTATTGGTCTGAATTGGTCAGTAAATTTAATAATTGTCGAAACCATGTAACAACTATTGCAACCAATAATATGGTTACTATATGTATATATTTTAGCAACCAACAGATATATTATTTATCAACCAACATATACGGTCACTATATGTATATTATGTAGCAACCAAAAAATGTGGTGGCCAAATATATATCCTATAGGCTATAGCAACAATAAAATATGGTCACTATACGTATATATCATTTAGCGACCAAAATTATATGGCCACTATATATGTTGCTATAGCAACCATGTTAATATTATTGCCACCATAAAATTTACATTAGCGAGTCAAAAAATGGTCGTTAATAATTATATTTTTAGTGACCATTATTAGTTCGCCGCTAAATCTCATCTTTTAGCGTCCAATTAATTTTCTTGTCACTGAGTACTTTTAGTAACTACCCTGTTGTGACCACCGGTGACCAAGCTTAATTTGGTCGCTAGAAGTTTTAGCTACCATTTTCTAACTTTTAGCGACCATACAATATCGTCACTAAAACCAAAATTTCTTGTAGTGTTCCTTTTGCTGAGTCAAAGCCCCCCACAAACACACTTCCTACCTCTGCCTTGGACGAAAACACACCCTCCCTATTCCTCCTCCCTTAGACTTCATCTAACTATTGCAACAGTGCATCCAACTGTTCCAACAGTGAACCACCATGTTCCAACAGTTCATCCAATAGTCCTATAACACAACCAACACCTGTTTGACCTACATCACCAACTCTCGACCACGACGAGCTCACAACCCCTTCTCCTACTCCCACATCTCCTTCCCATACTCCCAGACCTCCCCCACCTCCCCCTGCTCACCCTATGGTAACTCGTAGTAAAGCCGGCATCCACAAACCCAAAGTCCCTGTCTCTCTTGTTGCGTCCTCTACCTCTTCCATTCCCACCAACTATCGCCAAGCTCTTCTTGACCAAAATTGGCGAAACACCATGATTGAGGAATGTACTACTTTAATTAAAAACAATACATGGAATGTTGTGCCCCGGCCCCCGTTCACTAATGTTATTTCTGGTAAGTGGATATACAAACAGAAACTCAAGTCTGATGGCTCCCTTGAGCGATACAAAGCACGATGGGTTGTTCGCGGTTTTCATCAGCAGGCTGGCATCGACTTTGACGAGACCTTTAGCCCAGTTGTCAAACCTGCAACTGTTCGAACAGTTCTCAGTATTGCTCTCTCACGATCATGGCCAACCCACCAGCTTGATGTGAAAAATGCCTTCTTACATGGCAATCTCTCTGAAACTGTCTACTGCGACCAACCTCCCGGATTCGTCGATCCATCTCGCCCCACTCACGTGTGTTGTCTCAACAAAGCACTCTACAGTCTCAAGCAGGCACCCCGTGCTTGGTATAATTATTCTGCCTCTCACATTACCATCATGGGCTTCGGAGAATGCAAGTCCGACACTTCACTCTTTGTGTGCTGTCGCAATAGTTCGGCCTCCACACCTGAATTGCTCCACTGTATCATCGTTGCCCTTAATCAAGAGTTCGCAATGAAGGATCTTGGCGATCTTCACTACCTTCTCGGCATCTCAGTTACTCGCTCGTCGAATGGGCTATTTCTCTCTCAACGCAAGTACGCCGATGAGATACTAGAGCGTGCACACATGGCTTCCTGCAACCCTTGTCTTATGCCGGGCGACGCAAAGAGCGAGTTGTCTTCGACCACTGGACCCCCCTTGCTGACCCTACTCTTTATCATAGCCTTGCCGGTATACTACAGTACCTCACGTTTACTCGTCCCGACATTTGCTATGCTGTGCAACAAATATGTCTATTCATGCATGATCCGAGGGAACCTCATATGGCTGCTCTTAAGCGTATCCTACGCTACATTCATGGCACTCTCGACCACGGCCTTCTCCTCTCCCCCAATCCGAACATTTCCCTTATCGCTTACTCCGATGCTGATTGGGGTGGCTGTCTTGACACTCGTCGTTCGACATCGGGCTATTGCATTTTCCTCGGCAACAACCTCATCTCTTAGTCCTCCAAACGACAGGTCACTACTTCTTGATCTAGTGCGGAGGCTGAATATCGAGCTGTCGCAAACACCGTCGCCGAAACGACTTGGTTACGCAACCTACTTTCTGAGTTGCTCTGCCCACTTTCGAAAGCCACCATTGTCTACTGTGAAAACGTCAGTGCCGTCTACCAATCCAACAATCCTATTCAACACTCTCGTACGAAACATGTGGAGATCGATATCCACTTTGTCCTAGACAAAGTTGCTTTGGGACACGTTCGAGTTCTTCACGTCTCTTCCGCCTACCAGTTTGCCGATATCTTCACGAAAGGACTCCATACTCAACTGTTTCAACAGTTTGTCTCCAGTCTCCACGTCCTCTCCTTTACCGTTTCGACTGCGGGGGTGTATTAGCGTATATATATTATATATTAGGGAAAATTACAGTTTATGTCCCTAAACTTTATCACTAAAACAATTTATGACCCCAAACATTTCAATCCGGGAAATATGTCCCCAAACTTGCCACTTTTAATCACTTTATGTTCTGTCATTAACGTCGGCAGCTAACTTCAACAGAAATTGCACGCGTGGCTCACGTGAAGTCTATATGGCCGTTAAATGTGACGTGGAATAATATATTGAATATTAAATATTTTCTCTAACTCATTCTCCCAAATCCCAAATCACGTTTCATACCCATAAACCCTTATTTTCCCACACTTCACAATTTCAATCACCTCAACTCATTCCCAAATTTTCAATCCAATCTGCATTCTTGCTCTAACCCATACTAAAATCGAAGTCATAAACCCAAAAAAAATCCAAACATTTTCACATTTGAAGATTTTTTTCCTTCTCAGAAGCTACGCTGCTTTGGGTGATTTATGGAGAAGAAAATGTCAATAAGGAGTGAATCCGGCCTTCTGTGGACTCCAAACTACAGTAAGTATCCTTAACTTTGTAGCTATGTTGTTAAATTATGTGAAAATGTGATTTTTGTTTTGTCTAATTTTTTTGTTTGTTTTTTTTTTTTTGCTTCCTCAAACACCATAGTTGAAATGGGTGAACCTACATGTTTTAGCATAAATATTTTTTATGGTGGAATTATGAGGCATGAACCAACTAGAACATATATAGGAGGGCATGTAGAATGCTTTGATTTTTTGAATATTGACCAATTTGGATAAAACATGAGAATTGTTTTAGGCCAATTGAAACTGATGTTGATGTTCTTAGCATAGCTGACTGTATTCCTTCAAACTTTGAAGTTAAGATGTTCATTGAAAATGTTAATAACTCAGAGGGGGGTACTGAATCTGTCATAAACGATGAAATTGGGATAGATGAAATTGGGGTAGAGTTAAGTGATGAGGGTGATGACAGTGAAGATGATGAAATTTTTTATGAGTGTGAGTATGATATGGAGGATGATGATAAGCTATTTGAAGCTTATGTTGATCCTGAAGCTGAGTTTGGTTGTTTAGACAAGGGCAAGGGTAAGATAGATGAGGGTAGTGAATTCATAAGTGGTGGGATGTTTGATAAGCTATATAATGAGGAAGGGGAGGAAAATCTTGTTGCTAGTGATGATGACTTGGTCAGTGGTGGTAGTGATGAAGAAAGTGTTGGAGTGAAATACCCTAAGTTCAATAGGACTGAAAAAAAGAATCCAAACATAAAATAGGATTAATTTTCAGTAGCAGGGATGAGGCTAAGATTTGCCATTGAGAGTCATTGCATTAGGAGAGGTATGGTGATAAAATTTCAGAAGGTTTGTAAAAACGATGGATGTGAGTGGTTTTGCTATGTGGGAAAAATGTAGGGGGATGGTGCTTGGCAAATTAAGAGCTATAATCCAAATCATAACAAATGCTCTTGGAATTATAACAACACAAGCATTAAATCAGGTTGGATTGGGAAGACTTTTGTGAAAAAATTGAAAGAAAATCCAAAATTGGGCACAAGTGAACTTATAAATGAAGTCTGTACCACCTTAAAGGCCAATGTATCTAGATCACAGGCCTATAGGGCAAAGCAAAAGGCTCTAAAACTGATTCAGGGAACTTTAGAGGAACAGTTTAGCAAAATAAGG